GCCGGCTAGTATCACCAATGGAGGCTATATATGTGAAGGGAAAGGATAAGGCAGAATTTATACGAAAAACCTTATCGCAGGATGTCATCGAGATTAACGAGGAACCTGCATTACCTAAATTGGAAGCCAGCTGTTTGTATCATTATTATCAAAAATGTCATTGTGCATTGGCAAACGTGTATTACATACATAACAATTATACAATGTCGTAATTGTTTAGTAAATAAAGCGATAAAAGTTTAACATTTGTTCTTTCTCTTAATACCCTATAAATAAGGATGCGGATGTGCAAAACGATCGTTTCAGGAAAGGTTTCGATCACTATATAAAACCTACCGTGAAAACGTGTTTATTTTTCAGTTGGAAAACGCTGCTATCAAGTATATCTACAGCTTTCAAAATAAACAACTTTTGATATAAACAGGTAAACAGATAAACAGGTAAACAAATAAACAGGTAAACAGATAAACAGGTAAACAGATAAACACTTTCTTGCCTACATTCACCATGGATAAATTCGGACGTTCTCATACGCATGCTCAATTTGGAAAACTGTTAAAGACAATTTTCCATTACCGACGATACGATAAATGTAGAAAATAAGAGACTAAGTTATGTTGTCTACCCTATTGAACGTCATGATGCCCTAACCTTACAACACTACCTATCAACAAGACTGAATCTCAACGGAAACCACTTAATGAATGTGGCCGATCCAGTAGACGACGGCGATGCTATAAATAAAGGATACTTCATGTATTATAAGCAGATTGCAAAAGTGCCTGTAGATGGTCTTCGCAATTACGTGGATGTACTAGAGGAAGAGTTGAAAACGGCAAAGAAAATTTACATAAACTGATAGAGGATGCAGCAGGTGGTAAACGAGTTACATAAAGCGGCACGCAAAAACTTCCCCCGTAGACCTTTCAAAACTACGAAACGCAGACCGAAAAATCTACAAACCGATGCCGGGAAGGAATTCTATAACAAATCATTCGCCAAATTGATGATGCAAGAACGCATTAATCACTATTCCACGTACAGTACGGCACTGGCCGAGAGGGTTATAAGAAGTATAAAAAAACCCTTGTACCGGCAGTTTAGTTTACGTGGAAAATATGTATGGATAGATGCAATCGAATCGATCACGGGCGAGTACAATAATCGTAAACATCGAACAACGAGGATGAAACTGATCGAAGTGAAGGCCGATACAAAGCTGGACGCCTACAACCGCATCAAGCTCTTCAAAAATAAGAAATGCCGTTTTAATGTCGGCGATGTAGTTCGAATTAGCAAATTTAAATCCATATTTGCCAAAAGCTACACCCCCAATTGGTCCAGTGAGCTGTTCAAAATTGTAAAAGTACAAATAACAAATCCGGTCACGTATTTGTTGGATCATCAGCAGTTGCTCTCGTGCTTTCGACGAAACAACAGCGTGCTCTACTGCGGTCCGATTTTAAATCGATACAAACAAGCTGCCTTTTACAAGGCAACTCAACTCAGTCTTTTAAAAGACTACGCCTCCAAGGCATTGTAAGAAAACTTATCCCATTGACGAAAGCTCCTGATTCTGGCTGTGGTAGGACACCTTACACATAAAGGGGGCCAGAGTCCGGGCCTCCAGCTAGAATACGGGGATTTAGTTCCCTCCAAACGCCCCCCCTCACATCACAATGAACCCCGTCGACGAAATCATCTCGCGTTTCGACGCACTTTCTAAGGACGATTTCCAGCGCGTCATCCAAGGCCTCGTCGCTCGTTTTAACGAGAAATTCCCTGACCCAGCCCCCCAAAAGTACGCCGCCACGGCTCCTAAAACCCCCCATGTCCCAAATTCCAACGAGTGCTCTCGTATGGAACTTTCGACCGCGGGCACCGACGAAGACGACGAGGGCCTTCAAACCCAAAAGTTGAAACGTAGGCGCCCCAGCAAGTCCCCTAAAACGACCCCGCCTTCAGCCATCAAGAACACACCGACTCCGCCAACCCAAGCCGCCGTACCCACTTCTGAAGTCAACGCCTCAACCTCCATTGCAGCCGCCCCCGAACGTATTCCCCCAGTCACACTTCGGGACAAATCCAAATGGCAAACCGCCACCGCCCTCCTAGACTCCCTAAAAATCCGCTTCAGGTCCGCGGCAAATTCCGACGACGGTATTAAAATTACCCCACCGTCGACTACCGATTACAGACAGATGACAGCCGCCTTCAAATCACATGACCTCCACCACCACACCTACTCCCTTCAAAGCGAGAAATCGCTGAAAGTCGTCTTCCGAGGCATCCCGGAATACACCACCGCGGAAGACATCACCCTGGAATTAAATTCCAAGGGATTCACTCCCTCAAAAGTGCACCAATTCCACCGCCAAGACAAAACCCCAATGCCCATGTTCCTGGTCATCGTACCAAGGGAACAAAGCTCCATTTATCAATTGACTCACATCGCACGAGTTTCTATCAGGGTTGAAACCCTCCGGAACGCGGCTTCCGTGGGGCAATGCTACCGCTGCCAGCTCTTCGGCCACGCGCAGTCCAAATGCACCGCACCTCACAAGTGCGGCGCCGGCCACCCAACCCACACCTGCCTCAAGACCCCAGATCAACCCGCTCAATGCGCAAACTGTGGAGGCTCCCACACCGCAAACCACCGCGGTTGCCCCAAGTACCCCCAACCCAAACCCACCACCATCACCCCCAGCATCCGTAACACCCCAAACCCATGGGTCTCAGCCACCCCGGCTGCTCAAGCCCTGTTTCCCACCAGCACAGCCACAAATCCAGGCAAGCAAGCGAACATAGCCGCCGTACTAGGCCAAATGTTCCTCACCTTCTCCGCGTCAAACCCCACCACCAAGTCCTTCCTCCAACAATCCCAGCAACTCATAAACCTTACCCTAGCAAAAATGGCTAACATTTTAATCCCTTCTTCCATCAATATCGCGTTCTGGAATGCAAACGGCATCCAGCACAAAATCCATTAACTAACCCACTTCCTAATCCACCACGACATCGATGTCGTCCTGATCAGCGAAACCCACCTAAGCCCCTGCATAAACCCAAAAATCCCAAACTATTCCCTATACCGCTCGGACCGGAAAGGTCGAGGCGGCGGTACCGCCATCTTCGTGCGCCGCCAACTCAAACACCACCCCGGCCCAGTTTCCCAGGCAGACAACATCGAATCCACGTCTATCTTCATCGACACGACCACTGACCAACTTAAACTGATTTCCTGCTACAAACCCCCCAACGCCCCACTGACGGACAGCGACTTGGAAAAACTCTTCGTCAGAAACTGCCCCACGGTGGCGGCCGGCGACATCAACTGCAAACACACAGATTGGAATAGCCGCGTCTGCAACACCAACGGGCGAAGACTTCACACATACATCGACAACCACCCACAACTTTCTATCCTAGGCCCCCAAGAACCGACCCACTTTCCCGGAGACACACGTCCCGACGTCCTAGACATAGCCATCCTCCAAAACGTCCGATTCCTCCCCACCATCTTCACCGTCCCCGAGCTAGGCTCGGACCACAACCCCGTCATCCTCCACCTAGGCGACCCCACGCCAAATATATACACGCAAACCACCAACATCACCGACTGGCCCTTGTACACCTCGCACCTCCAAGACTCGCTGGGGCACATCCCAGTCATATCAGACAAGCACGACCTCGACAAACACACCCAACACCTCCAATCCTGTATCCTAGCCTCCCATTCCCACGCCACCACCACCAAGACGACGCTCGGCAGACCCAAAACCGCCATCCCCCCCGAACTAAAACGCCTAATCCGCCAAAAGAACCGCGCTAAACACATCTGGCAACGAACCCTCCACCCCGACGACAAGCGCACCCTAAACGCCCTCCAATCCGAGGTCCGCACAGCTCTCTTCCAGCACAGGAACTCCACCTGGGCTGACAAAGTCTCGTCCCTAAACGACGACACCACCTCATTATGGCGTATGGCGAAAATTCTACGAAACACCACCCCCAAAACAATTCAACCCCTTCACTCGACAAACGGGCTAGTCTTCTCCCCTGAGGAAAAGGCCGAAGCCTTAGCCGACAACCTCGAGCTCCAGTGCTCCCCAAACCTTCGCGATGCCGACCTCGACCGCATTGAGCAAATCGAAAGATCAGTTGCACACCTTACGCGATCTGACTCTACCAACGATCGCATCCACCCAGCCTCCCCCCAGAAAATCAAGTCTCTGATCCGCAAGCTGCGGAAGCGAAAAGCCCCCGGCCCCGACGGCATTACCAACACTATGATCTCTTACTTCCCAATCAAGGCCATAGTTTTATCTGACCACGATCATAAACGGAATGCTCAGACTCTGCCACTTCCCGGACATCTGGAAACGGGCAAATGTCATTGTAATTCCCAAACCCATGAAAGACCTCAAATTCCCACAAAATTACCGACCCATCAGCCTCCTTGCATCTCTCTCCAAGATAGCCGAGCGATGCATCCTCACCCGCCTAAACATCGAACTAACCCGTCTCCAGCTCATCCCGCCGGAGCAATTCGGTTTCCGCCCCAAGCACTCCACCACCGAACAACTCCTAAGAGTCACAGAATACTGCTACCACAGCATGGCCAATAACCAGGCTGCGGGCGGCGTATTTCTGGACGTGTCCAAAGCCTTCGACAAAGTCTGGCATGACGGTCTGATCTATAAACTCTCGACAGCCCACATCGACCCGCAGATCACTAAACTCATTCACTCTTTTCTCACAAACAGATCTTTCCAAATAAAAGTCATGGACACCCTCTCCTCCACAAGGCCCATCGCAGCTGGAGTCCCGCAGGGTTCGGTCCTATCCCCCACACTCTATAACATCTACACCCACGATATCCCCAAGGCCCCCAACGTCGAACTGGCGCTTTACGCAGACGACACCGCCCTCCTGGCCCACTCCTAGAACATAGACCTCCTCACATCACGTCTACAATCAAGCCTCGACACCCTAGAAAGATGGCTCTCAGACTGGCTGATAGAAGTCAACGGCGACAAAAGCACTGCCACCATTTTCACGAGAAAACGCAAGCACCATCCCCGACGGCAACTCCAAATCTTCGGCCAAGGCATCCCATGGTCAAACTCATCCAAGTACCTAGGAGTCACCCTCGACTCCAAACTCAACTTCGCCCAGCACACCACAAACGCTACCAACAAAGCCCGCGGCACCATCAAGACCCTCTTCCCGCTGCTATGCCGAAACAGTCAGCTCAACACGAACAACAAGCTCCGCCTATACAAAGCCATCGTCAGGCTGGATCCACATGATACGTGATTCACGGATACGTTGTTACCACGAACCAATGGCGATCGCTTACTCTCGCAACGTACGCTGCCAAGGTCACCACGGATTGAAGTTGGTTAATTTCAACTTCAATGCGTGATTTTTATCCGTCGTGAGCATTTTTAGGTTATTTGTTTGTAAACATCGTGCAGATTTTTAAATAATGTCCTCACAATCGCAAATCGTGTACAAATGTGGTTATTGTGGATATTTAATAAATAGTTACTGTGATAACTACATGGATCATGAATGTTTTAAAGAAATAGTTGAATCCGCCAATGTAAAAGAAATCGACAAATGGAATTTGTGTGCTAATGATCAAAATGTTTTAACTTTGAGTAAGTCCGCATTAACATTTTGTTATTCAAAATAGTGTGTAATACAGATAGGTAAACACAGCTGCAATAAATTTATATATTTTTTAGAACCTACAAGTGTGGATAACGAAAACCAAATCCCGGTCGAAGAATTGCCAACGCCTGCAGTAAATCAAATCAATGACGAGTTATTAATCTCTTTGGTATATGCACGTAAACCGTTGTGGGATTTCAGAACTCCCGTGCAGGAAAGGCATGGTCTCAAACTAAAAAAGTTGTGGGAAGAAGTTGCAGTACTATTGGGAGGTAAACAGACAATTAATACATTTTGATGTAACTTCACATTGGTAAACAAAATCATTATGCTTATCTGTTGTAACAATATTATGAGAAATGTAATTTAAGATTTCTAATATAGTTGATGTTTAGGCCAGTTAATTGATGCAGTAAAAAAAAGGTGGAGGCAGCTGAGGGACGATTTCATGAGGGCCAGAAAAAAGCACAAAACATATGTTCCAAGTGGTTCTGGAGCAGATCATTTACCCCCACAGCCTACCTTTAAATACTATGAATTGATGAGATTCCTAGATGATACTGAAAATATGACGTATGTAAAGTGATAATAGCACTTAACACAATATTTTACATCTATATAGGGTAGTCATAGATATTGTCAGAATGTTTTGCTTTGTGTTTTAGAACTATTTCAAATGTAAGCTTGGGACCATCAACATCTAATAGTGGTGCTGAAATCATCCCATCCGGATCACCATCACCAAGCCTGTCCTCACACTCTGTCGGAAATAAAAAAAAGAGTTAGTAATATGCGTCAATTACTTTTTATGAGCAATCTCATAACAGATATTATTCATTATACCTATTTATACTAATACTAAAATTAAATTACGCTTTATAAGTAAGCACAGATGTGAAGTAAGTAATGCACAAACTTTTTTGCAGGAGTATCTGAAGCTCGATCTGAAGGATATGAAACTGAAATCCAGAAGGAAATATTAAAAGTAATGCAAGCTCCAGAAAGTAAACCAGATGGAGTGGATGGGTTTTTAGTTTTGCTTGGGGAAGGTCTTAGGAGATTACCATTAAGAAATAGAAATAAACTACAAATAAGATTCCTTCAATTATTGGAAGGGGAAGAAAGTATTTTGAATAATGAATAATAAAATATTTTATGTTGAATAAACATTTACATTATAATTTACTATATACACTTTATTCTGTACAAAATCCATGGCAATAGTATATTACCACAGTTACATCATTGTCTTAGTTATAGTTATATACTTATTATATATTTAGGTAGAAAGTAGTTAAAAGTCGTTACTTTCAACTTTTTCTAATTGCCAAGGAACCGCTCCCTCGCCCTCGAAATATTCAGCTAATCTATCCCTTAAATGTGCAACATTTCTACTGTAAACGTTACGACCAGATCGGCCTAGTTCAAGAAAGCCTGTATTTTGTTCTGACATACAATTTAATTCAGAATATGCATGTTCCGTGATTGGCAAGACAGTTTCCTTTTTCAATATAAAATTATGCAAACAAATTGTTGCTTGGATAATTTTTATTATAGTGGTTTCGGATGCAATTATGGGCTTTGCAAAAATCCTCCAGCGACCTCGTAGAATACCGAAAGCACACTCTACTACACGCCTGGCTCGGCTTAACCTGTAATTGAAAAATTTTTTTCTCCTATTTAAGTTACTGTTTCGAGGATAGGGCCGCATCATATAGTTTGTGAGAGCAAATGCCTCATCACCTACCACGACAAAGGGAAATGTCAAATTTCTACTGATAGGGCATTCTTTTGGGACATTAAGCAAATTATTTTCAAGTCCCATTCCAATACTGCTCATTCTAAAAACACCACTATCACTTTTTCGACCTGGAGCTCCAATATCAACCAACGTAAAGCGCATATTGGCATCCACCATGGCCATCAGGATAATGCTGTGACTGTTCTTATAGTTATAATGAGAAGATCCACTATTGGGTGGAGCCTAAAACGAAGTGTTTGTTTAGTAATGCTATGTTTAGCTGTGGATGAGATTTATGTGTAAAAATTTTTGTAGACCAACCACAAAAAAGTAAGATGATATCCCTGTGTTTCACGTTGTTGCTCTAAATACTTACTTGAATTATTACATGTTTCCCATCTATTGCTCCAATACAATGGGGGAAATTCCACTTTAATTCAAAATCTTTGGAAATATTTTTCCAATCTTCCTCTGTTGGGTTTTCTAATAGCACCTTCTCGCGTAAAGAATTCCAAATTGCTTCACATGTTTCTGCTATAATCTCTGAAACTGTTTGTGGAGCCACTCTGAAGGCATATGACACTGATTTCATACTGTCTCCTGAAGCCAAATACCGTAGTGTTATAGCTAATCTTATTTTAGGTTCAATTGGTATTCGTACCACAACTTGTTTTTTAATTGTTGGTTCAAGCATATTTAAAAGCTCGGAAAACATAGCATCGTTCATTCGAAAGTAGTTAATAAACCGACTACTGTCTTTTTCTAACTCGCAGAACAATGAATTTCCGCACCCATACAAAAGTCTTTTTTCTTCAGTATATATCGATCGAGTCCACACTTTCCTAACTGCAAATGGTTTAGAACGTTTTTTGGCGAGTTTGGCTGCCAAATAAGCCATATAAATTTTTTTAATCTTCAGCTTGTAACTTTGTTTTTGAAATACGCATGTTTTTTGTTTGCACATGGCACCAATTAGTAAAAGATAGGTTTTTGATTTCATTCTTACTAAAATACACGTTTATCTAAAACTACAGTTACAACAACTACAACACTACCTATTCGAAATTCAAAACAAAACGAACCCATAGACGACAACGGTTGCGTAACACGGAGTTTCCATTCGGATGGCGGGAAATTATGCATCCGTATTTACGCGTGCGTAGGTACGTAAAATCACGTATCATGTGGATCCAGCCTCAGCCCCATCATGCTATACGCGTCACCCGTCTGGAGCCACTCGGCCCGCACCCACATCAACAAATTTCAAGTCATCCAAAACAAATGCCTCCGCCTAGCCTTCAACGCCCCCTGGTACGTGCGCAACAACGCCCTGCATCAGGACGCAGATCTCTCCACTATCCACGATCAGCTCTACCGCAGAGCGACCCAAACCTTCGCCGCCACCCAAACCCCCTCGTCCGAAGGGCCACAGACTACGATGAAAACTACCCTTTCAAGATCAAGCGCCCCCGTACTATTCTTAGCAAATAGTAACCTCCCAAGGCCTACTGAGGCACTCTAACTAAACTCATCTCAAGTCACTCACTCAGATAACGGGGTAAAAGTTTCATAATTGGCCCATCTCACCATGTACGACCAATGACCAATGTATTTGTTGGAAGACATGAAGGCTAAACCGATTTTAGGTGGATTTTACGAACATGAGTTGCAGAAGGCCAAGTATTCGGACGTATACCTGGTTGAAAAGGTCCTGCGTCGCAAGAAAGACAAAGTGTACGTGAAATGGTTGGGTGTGGACGAGAAATCATGGATTGATAAAAATAATGTTGTTCTATAAGGTTATGATGTGTCGATTTGAATAAATAAATAAATAAAACTTAAATATTTACTTTTTATTATTGTAATTCACCATACAACATATTTCCTAGGGTCTCTTTTTCTCATTATCGTTAAAAGTAATTCTCGAGTCTTTTATAATCGAGCAATTGAGTAGAGGGCCATATTGAAGAGTCTGGTCCGCAGGTCCAACCGAGAAGTGCATCAGGATTCTCTTCGCCTTTACGGATATTTTCCAATATCCATGTGTATATCTCGCGATGACGATTGTGCTCGTGCGTATTAAATCTACACTCTACTCCCTTTTCTACGCACACATTAATAAATAATGTTAGGGCATTAACATTGGCATATTTTGCAGATTTACAAATACTTTCATTTATTACATATGAAATAATCCTTATACACACCTGCAGAAGACTTGAGTAAATTAATTACATATTGTTTGATATGAAACGGTAAACTATCAATATTACTACCACTACTACAATCACTAACATTACAGGATATTGATTTTACTAACCTATCCAGTTCAATTTTTCTCTCTATCAGTAATCTAATATTAGTTTCACATACATTTCTAGAGCAAGCACACCAACCGAAACATTCATCGGGGAGGATAATGAGGTTTTGTAACACCTCATTAATGAATGTAGTGGATGAGTTTCTCAATAGAGCTTGTTTTAAAAATTGTTTATAAATGGGAATAGAAGCTTTGTATAGCTCCTCCTCCAATTGTATTTTCAAATTTTCGCTATCCATTATCCGTATTGTTGTTGTTGTTGTTATTGTTGAGGGGTTTTCTAAAATACAAAAGGAGTGGTTAAAAGACGCGAAGGTTGTGGAATATCGACATCATCGTCGTAGTAGTCGTTAGTATGGTTGTATTAGGTAGGATTACTAAAATTACAATATCCCCAAGGCCGTGTATCGATACGATTAGCGCATATGACGCGTTTGTCATCGTGAGGACTTAATACGACCTTATTTTGTTTCAATGTGTATACGGCATGCTTCTTCGATCGTATTAGATTCTGCTCCTTTTTTATAGTTACAATATTAAACAAGGACCTTTTATAATCATCGATCGTAACGTCCCTCATACTAGATGATGTGGATCCTTTCGATTTCTTTATCAATTTTCCATCGACCTCATATGAATACATCTTTGCACGCAACCCTACAAATTCGGTCATTATACGACCATGATTTTCATCCTTCCTTAACCCCGGAATTTTTTTATTTACCAAAGGAATTCCAAACTCGTTTTCGGGATCATAATCTGATGTATCAAATCTATGAATATCTTCCTTTATAATTTCATATATGTTGGGAACGTTAAAAGCGTATATTAAACTATCGGTATCGGTGTACAACAGCTTTGCGGACGATTTTTGAAACTTTTTCAAAACGTAGTTATAATGAAAGTCGTAAAGAAACGTTTTTGAAATGTCTAAAACTGCAAATCCTGCGTATATAGGTTTATTGAAAAAGACTTCTAATCTATTCATTTCTATGATCACCATGTCCTTATCGAATATCGTACAACTATGGAAGTTTGGTTTGGATATATATGCCCTAGCGCCGTAACGTCCGCCCCATTTAGTCAATAAATGCACCTCCTTGTATTTCCGCACGTTCTCCATAAGCTTACCAAAAGGACTATTAATCATTAATTTATAGAAATTTTTATCGAACTCATTTTTCGCCCGCTGTCGCATACCGATATTTAATTCGATGTATTTTTTCAACCACGGAGACTGCTTGAACTGCAATACTCGATTTATTTTTACTAATTTTAGACCGTGCTGCACGTATATCTTTAAATTTCTATAATGAACGACATATTCGCGCTTTGGATATAAGGTTAACATCAGTTTTTTAAATTTTGAATAGAGGGGTATCATATGCTCCGGCGCCATGGGAAAATCACTATCAGATTCGTGCAACTCGGAGGGATAGTCCAAATCACAGTCTACTATGTATCCTACGTCAGCATCGTCCGGATGATTAAGTATGTCCAAATTTTCAATGTCCTCTTCAAAGGAGAATTCGCCGAAGGGCAAGAAATTACATATTGTGGCACCATAAAGATTATTAATGTCAAGGTACAATAGGTACATCGTATCAAGGTCGCTGTTATAGTCTTTCATGAACGGGTTGTTAGCTTTGGCGTATCTAGTAGAACACTGCGTTATACCGCCTCTAATCCCTTTCTCGATAAACATGAGTTGATCAATATCAGAGAAGCTCCAATTTCACGCCCGTAACTTTTAACATGGCGTCAAAAGCTAGACCCGGAGCGGTATAGTAATGCAAAGGATCAAGCCGATACGTCTCTATGCACGTATTGCGAAAGTTTTCGAAAATGTCAGCCAAAAGAACATCCGTTTTTAAATAAAGGTCGGAATAATCTCCTAATGTTTTAATGTTGAATGTATTCCATACGTTAAGCGCGTGCTCGTAATCGGCTTCGCTTACCGCTTCGTTTTACAAATTGCTAAAAAATGCATCTCTAGGCGATAACTCTGGCTCGTTTAACCTCTCCCATGAGTCGACATAATCGTACGAAAATATGCCCTTACGCGTTAACAAATCAAATTCAT